TGTGTGTGTGTGTGTGTGTGTGTGTGTGTGTGAGTGTGTGTGTCGTCGCCTTCTCTTTCTCTTTGTTTGTCTCTGTCTTTGTTTCTCCTCAACCTACTTTCCCCTCTATCTTTCTCTCGTTCCCTCCTTTCAACTGGGGCATGTGATATTAAGATCTCTACTAGCAATTCCCCCTGTTCTCTCCCCCCCCCCCCTCTCTCTCTCTCTGTCTCTGTCTGTCTCTCTCTCTGTCTCTCTGTCTCTCTCTCTTTCTCTCTCTCTCTCTCTCTCTCTCTCTCACACACACACACACACACACACACACACACACACACACACACACACACACACACACGCACGCACGACCTCTCTCTACCGGGTCTGGGCGCTGAAACTTTCCGAAATCACAAAAGATTTCCCCTACCGGGTCTGTATACCTCACAGAATTTTACACTAAGTGTAGAATTCTGTGGTATACCTCTTGACTTTGTTCCCAGTTACCGGGTCTGTGTCCACCTTGATAAAGGGGAAGTAACCCAGTATTTCTGTACTGCGGGATCTATTATACTAGTTTATACCCTTGGTTATGTTATGACAATCCACCAATGAGTTTAGTTTTAATCTCCTTGCAATCCACAGAATTCTACACTTTGACAATCACATCCGGCAACTCGTTTTGTAATGTAGGCCTACAAGAAATCATAACATCACGAAATTCGCTTTTATTTTTTCATAATAAGATGGATTTATATTGAACGTAAGCCTGTTGTTAGGTTAGTGTCTGGTTGTTGTGCTCTTGCATGATAATAATATGCCTCATAGGTACATATTGTATGGCATGGGAGACTCGCGAGCCAGATCTACTCCTATACATCGAGATGTTCGATGCTATAACGATAGGCCTATTATATAGGGCATTAAAAACAAACAGCCACACTCCAAGCATCAAACAATGACTACAGTTCTTTTCTTTTTTTCTTTCCTTTTTTTGTACGTTCTTTTATTTTTGTTCTCTTTGTCATTGAACAAGCATACCGGAATCTATCATTTTAGTTCACAAAGGACAGTCGTGCCTCTTAACAACATAACCCTGCAGACCCAAGTTACAGTTCAATGGTCGTCCCACCATATTTCTCTTTATCTGTATGTAAAACAAATCAGATCTGTTTATTTTATTATACGGAATTGGGCAATCGATTTTCTTCTTCTGCCCAAAAGACTACCCATACAGTCTGTGTAAATGATTCCAACAATAGCAGAAATGACCGTCAGTTTTTACTTTTGGCCAACATTGCGCAATTGATCAAACCTGGCATGATCAGGTTATGCCAAAGACTTAAATTAGAATCTAGATTAAATAGCATCATGGCCGCCCCTTCGTATTCTGTAATTAATTTGCTGAAGCGGGTGTGCATCAATTAGAGTGTTACCACCACCGCCAAACGTAGGAAAAATGTGCCCTGCGTAAGTTTTTTGCCCAGTAAGCTAACTTAAAATTAATTGAATTGATATCTTGTGAGAAACTTCATTTTTAGATATGCGTAAGAAATAAATTGGGAATAAAACAGGAATAACAACTCATTTCTTTTTAGCTCGACTTCAAGCAGCAGCATGTACCAAAGCAGCTAAACAGCTGTCTTACTGCCTTCAAGTGGAGGTGACTCTTTCTTTCCGTACCCTACATTTACCTTAAACAATAGCATAATATTGCCCAAGTTGAATTTACCCCCCCCCCCCCTCTTGTTTCCGGAAATACGTCAGAGTATAGAATATGGGATGTCATAGTATAAGTCTATGGCCCGCTCGTAATGGGTGGAAACGGTGGAAAAAATCAAGGGGAAAAAAACAATATCACTGGGCCTGTGCTCAATGCAAACCAATCCCACCTTTTTGGAGTAATTGGGAAGTTGTGGCACTGTGTATTTGCTCGTGGGGGTGGAACAAACCATACAATAAAAGGGGGCTAAAATTTATGCTAACGGCTCCTGGTTTTGCTTAAGGGGGAATTCCCGAACAAAAAAAATTTT